CAGAAATCTGTCATTGACTGTTTGTCATTTCTCTCCTAACTCTGCTCCTCTTCTCTGTTTTTTCTCCTCTGCGCCTTCGTCCAGGAGTGGAAAATCTAGTGCTTTACTTCAGTGACACAGCGTGGTACGGTAGCAACTTTTTAATCTTCCTCACTTCATCCTCCTCCTTCTTCTTCTCTTCTTCCGTCACATAAAGCGAGCTGTTCTGTTTGTACTCAGATGTGTTTGATGCGTGTCTTTAGCAGGGAGGTGATGCTTGTTTTGACGGTATCGCAGTACAACACACGTAAAACTGTTTGGTATTATCGTGTAATAATGTAACAGGCGTCAGTGAAGCTCATTCGTTGATAAACTCTCAAACACAAACTTAGTACCGTAGCTGTGCTCAGACCTACACTGGAGAAACCAAACAGCACTTCATAAACGCACAACGCAGAAGACCCGCCTCGACAGGACAAGACTCAGCTGTACACCTGCATCTAAAGGTCAAAGGTCACTCTTTGAGGACACCAATGTTCACATGTTGGACAGAGAAGACAGATGGTTTGAAAAAGGAGTGAAAGAAGACATCTGTGTCCCTGTGAACAGCCATCTTTGAACAGAGGGCGGGGCTTATGACACCAGCTGTTTGCCACCTGTGATCCAGTCTGAGATCCTTCCCAGACGCCTTAACGCCCACGCACATCCTGGGTTGACAGGGTGGGGCAAGGTCTCACAGTGGGTTCACCTGAAACCCACACCCTACACACCGTGGCTCATGTGATGAGTCACATGATCAACAGTGGGTCAACGGACACTCCCACTAGAGTTTAAATTCCTGGGACTCTCCAGCATTTGGTCTTAGAGATGAAGTCCAGTCGTGTTTCTTTCCCAGCTCGTTGGACGTCGATGTGTTTCCATGTGTGGATCAATTCCATCACTGTGACGAGAATAACGACGGCCCACTAGCATGCGCTACCAGAAATAGTGCTTTGTTGTGTATCTGACGGACGAAAGCTAAACCAGTTCCACACCAGTGAAGCTGCAGCGTTTTTACAAACCAGTTCTGGTTCGTTTCATTCAACGATCCGCTCTCGCCCTCCTCATTCTGCGTCGCCGCCATGTGCGTATGAAAACAAAGCATGCGTCTTTTATCCATATTCTGTCGCAATATTTCATTTTCTTCTCGTTGCCCGACATACCGGTGATACCGTGAACGGTAGTATTATATTTACATTGATGATGATGAGAGCGTTGGAAAGTCTGCCTCACAGCGGCGCTGTGCACAGAGTCTTCTACCTGAATTATTCATAAACCTTTATTCTGTGGATAAAATAAGAGTGTCTCATAAATGCAGTACTATACAGGTGAAGTGAACGGATACACGATGGTGCCTCACTGAGGCGCTTTGCCCTCTGGCCACAGTGACGGTGACGTCCAGCTGTGCCCGAGTTCATCGTTCTTTACCAGCTGTGAGTGTTTGATGGGAAGCTGTGAGTCAGCTTTCTGCAGCATCTCTTTCTTCACATCAGTGACAGCAAACATGTTCTCAGTTTAGAGGTGAGACTTGATGCTGAATAATGTTGTTACTGTGAGGGAAGCACGTGGCCGCGCGGCCTAAAGCGCGGCGAGCCTTCGGGCCGTGCAGATGATCCAGCAGCTGGCCGCTGAAGTCACAAGCTCTTCGGCGGTCTCGCCTTACCTACCTCGCTCCTCCATAAGCACATCAGCTGTTTGATTTCAGGCCTCCAGAAAAGCTCGTGATGCTCAGTCGAGTTGAGGGCGAGCTCGGAGGGACGGTTCTGGTTTTAGCATCAGCGCAACGTGAGAGGGAGGCTTCGCTCCGACGCCAGAGTAACTGGCTGTAAATGACTCGTCGGTCTGTAATCTGTGCAACGTGTCTCGCGAAGGAGATCAAGTCATTTCCTTGTGACAGTGTGCAAAGTGACTTTGATGCGTCTTTATGTATCCCAGTAAAAAGTGCCATTGAAGGCCAAGAGGGCAAATCTAACAGCTCAGAGCTATAAGGATATTTGAGAGTGATTATAATGCACACTAATGTAGAGTCAGTGATACTTATAAACTGGTGGATCAGGAGTGTTCGGAGGTCTGACCAACACCAGCATGTGATGGAGGCTGTGTGGGCTCAGGAACACAGGTGTGTGGGTCCTGACAGAGTGAAGAGAATCGTCTCCTTCCAAAGAACAAAGTTATAAAATCAGAAGTTTTCATGCATTTTAAAGAGTAATTTAGCTGCTGCTGCTTCTTTAATTTGATCAACACATTTGTGATGATGTTTTATTTACGTTTTATTTTCTTGTCTAGTAGTACACAGTCACCCTGACCTTTATTTTGAAAGTTCAGTCATTTGTAACCATGTGATCCGTGGTTCGCCCGCTGCCTCTCGTCCCACGCTCAGCTGATCCAGAGCCTGCAGCAGAGTTCAGCCACTTTTAAACTTTTAAACGCCGTCCAGCCCCACGCACGCGGCGATCCGCGGTAGCTCGTTAACGGAGATTTGCCGTGTTGTGGCGTTAATGTCATTTCAGATTAACGCTGACAGCACTAGTGAGAACACAACGAATATGACTGCACATTTACTCCGACAGCATCCTCGTGCAAAGACAAGTGGAAGCAGACAAAAACAACAAGCAGCATGCTACAAACTTTACCCGAGTCATTTAGACAGCCGTTAGCACAGGATTCTCCTTATGGGGACCTGATATGTTTAATATGCTGCTGAGAATATAGCCCAGAAGAAGCGGATAGTATAGCTTTTATTTTGGAAAGAGACATTTCTCTGTAATAAACTCTCTTTTCCAAAGATGAGGGATTCCTCAATCAGATAGATTTATTATTTTTGTTGTTTCAGCAACATTAAATTTAAAAACTGTACGTTTGAGTTAAAATATATATTTAAAATTTTAATAAATGACAAATTAAAAAGGCATGAACATTTTTTTGTATCGAAAAACTGTTCATGCATATATATGTGTGTGTATATATATATATATATATATATATATATATATATATATATATATATATATATATGCGCGTGTGTGTATATGATGTATGATATGGCCCAGCCCTAGTCATGAACAAATCCCTGAGGTGCTCCTGCACTCGTCCCTCACGCTCCGGCTCACCTCTCAGATAAACTCAGTTCTTCAGTTTTGGTTCCTCTGCCTCTGTCAGTTCGTGTGAACGCTTTCTTAATTTCACAGAAGAAACAGGGAATTCATTAAAAATCCAAAATGGAAATAAGCTTAAGTGAAAGCAACTTTTTGATATCAGTTTTGGTTTTAATGAATTTTATTTGTTCAGGCAGAGAAGAAGGAGACAGAAACAGGAGACGGACCGAGCTCTTAATAAATGAGACGAGCTGAGATTTAAGATTGATTATAAAAGGAATCGACGGGATGAAGTAACGTGGCTCGCATCCAGTGATGATAAAACAGTCGATCAGTATTCGTGTGTAACGTCTCTAAGTGACTGTCTGCACGCTTTTACCCATGATTCACTGCTGCCTGCAGGACAGGTCACACCTTCTCCTTCACAGTGGAGCGAGTGCGCGGAGTCCAGAGGCCCATCAGGAGGCGGCGCCGAGCTAAAATTATCTTTGTAAATGACTCTTAAATTTTGGATTAGATGAGGTGCGCTACATTCTGGGAGTTTGGTGTGTTAGAGGGGCGTCGCTCTCTGATCAGCTTCAAACCTCAGTGACCTGATGTTTTTAGTCTTTGTGAGTGTCCTCATGTATTGAACTTCCAGCTTGATTAAAATCCGTCCCACACATGAGCAGAGACGGACGCCACCTCCACACATCACACTGACGCTCTGACTGAAGATCACATGTAGCGTTTTATCTAAATAACGTCTCCGCTCCCTTCGTTCTCTGCTCACCTCCTTTAGTGTGAGGATGTCGTTTTCAGAGTGGAATTTTTCAGCCTCTAAATCTATAAAAAGCTTCATTGATTTGGGTGAACTGTTGAACAGCCCAGAGGGACACATGTGGCCGTTTCCATCCTTTAGTTTAGATTTGATCCACGATCAGTATGAAGACAGTGCGGTGAGGTCAGCTGACCCCGCCTGTGTTAGTGCTAACTGGACGTTAGGAGGCTTCGGCGCCGGGCTGCCGTTTCATATTCGACGTGGATTTCTGGAGCGCTGCTGCTAACGGCGACGATCGGATCAAAGAAAATAAAAAAGAATGAACGAGTGCTGCTGTCAACAAACCTGCTCATCAAAGGTTCGTCCTCAGCAGACAGCACAGGTGGGGGCGGAGACTGAGACAATGAAACAGCAGGAAGAGCTCCTCCTCCTTGGTGAGGACGCCGTGTGATCGCTGAAACACATAAAAACCATAGTTATCGAGTATAAAACCGTACGGAGCAAAGCTGCTACCACCGAATATTCACTCATTATTGTTCTGATTTTAATATTCGAGCTTCGCAGTGATGTTATGATGGATTATTCATCTAACGAGCCTCTGGGGGCCAATAAGACGACAGCTAAGACGAATGTGGGTGGATGTGGACGCAGTTTGGGTGGATCAGCACTTTATATGCCAGGAAAGTGCGTGTGCGCGTGTGTGTGCGTGTGCGCGCGTGTGCGTGCGTGTGCGTGCGTGTGCGCGTGTGTGTGCGTGGTAACACCGTGGGGACGTCCTGTGAGTCGGCGTCAGAGAAGTAGAATAAAAACAGTGGGGCAGTGGAGTGTTTCCCTCCCAAGGTGAATGCTCCTGGAGGAGAGCTGCGTGTGGTGGAGGACGCCCTCCACCTCCCTCCTCTGTCCTCCTCCTCTTCAGTCTTTCTGTCCTTTTTCCTCATATCTTTCTTCCTTCTCTCGCTGCCTTTAATCCACCCATCCTGCCTTGCATTATTCATGAGGTGAATACACCTGAACGTCCCAGAGAGGCTGCAGTACCACTGCCCACCACCAGATGTCAGTGTTTACCAGCAGGTGTTTCTGTTCTGTTGAGAGCAGTAAAAACGTTTTCTTTACATTCAGCATAGGCACTCAGTGTGGCCCCCTGCTGGACCCGGCTGGAGTTTAACAACACAAACAAAAGGTTTCACTTTTGCTTCCTGTCAGCAAAATTATTAAAAACTGCCCGAATACGTCAAGAAGTGTGGACCAATCAGCATTCAAACCCTCAAGCAACACAATATCTGATCTGCACAGAGCTACGAGAGTGCGTTGGATTACTCAGCTGAGCTGTCAGGAATCAGAGACCAAGTTATGATTTCTAAGACGTCTGCCATTTTTGTTTTATGCGCCACTGATTTTTGGAAGTTACTGAACCTTTTCTGTTCTCCTTTAAGTGTTTTTTATCTTTAGCAGTCACCAGTGGGAGCTAAGAGCCACAAACAATATCATGAATTCACACACTGGGATCCAAAGCATGAATACTCTTGGTATTTAATAATTATTCGTTTGTTCGTTCAGTCGAAAGTTTGTTGTCTTTAATTAAAATTGAATTACTTTAAAATTTAATTTAAAATTGTGTCCGAATATGGCTTTATGATGAGTTTTAGAGCCCTGGAAATTTCTAAAACTCATCAAGCAATGATGTGTAGCTCAGACTGATTGGAGGGGGGGGTGAGTTCGTGAAGGATGCTGTGGGGCTGTCGTGGTTCATGTGCTGGATTGGTAAACTGTGGTGGCGGCTTTTAACCAAGCAGGTCAGAGAGCGTTTCCAGGCTTTGATGGTATCCCACTCCTCAGCCTCCCTGGGAAGCTCCACGTTGGTGGGAACCTTGGATTTGTGGGAAAATAAGTTGTTTTCATCCTGGTGGTGCTGCTGGATCAGCTCTAGACCCTCTGAAAGATATTTGAGGGTCCACAGGAGTCTGCATGTGTTTTGTGGACTTTGAGACCGGGGTGGTTTTTGAGGGGTTTTTGTTACGACCAATCTGGCCACAGTGGGTGTTTGGGTTCTGGGGGTGTTTGGACTCAGACATTTAAATGGCAACGATTTGAAACGATCAGCCCAACAGCAGCCAGTTTCTGGTTCGCTGGTCTCAGGATCGCCTCTCTGCTTTTGCTGGATGATGTGGTCCTTCTGGCTTCATCGGTCTGTAGCTTCCAGCTGTAATTGCAGTTACCACCTCCACGTCTGAGCTCACAGTTCTTAGCCAGAAATGGGTAGAGGGTACACTCCAAAATCCTGCCCCAGGAGGAGTTTGAGTATCTCAGGAACTTGTTTGGCGCTGGTGGGAAGGAAAAGGCAGAAGCAGCAGAAATGTGCCTCCTCTCTTGGGTCTCTGGGCAGGACTGTTATTTAAGAGAAGGTCTGAGCAGGATGCCTCCTGGATGCTTCCTAGGTGAGGTCTATCGGGCATTTCTGATTGGAAGGAGAAAAAGGAAATGCTGGAGGTTATGTTTCTGGGCTGGCTCAGGAATACCGCAGTGTCTCCCCCAGAAGAGCTGCAGGTGGTGAATGGGGAAGAGAGACTGAGCATCTCTGCTGAGACTGCTGTCCCTGTGACCCAGACAGTCAGCTTTAGATGAAGGATCTACCAGCGCCACACCGAGCTAACATCTGTAGATCCAGATGAGCTTCATAAGTAATGACAACTCAGTTGTAACATGTAACAGGGTAAAATGAGGAGCCAGGATCGGGGTGTTGAATGCCAGCAGGTAAAGATATGACCATGAATCTGTAAATGAGGTGCGTCTGCTCTCAGACGTCTGAAACGTTGAGACTTTTGCAAAGTGAGTGAGATACTTATGTTCAGTGGAGAGAAAGCTGACATCACCTGTACCTGAGTGAGGAAGTGAAGCTCGGTGCTGCTCTGCACACTTTAATCCTGCAGCCAGCTCACATCTGCACGCTGTTAATCTGATTTATCAGAGGGAAGGTGAAGAAACAGCAGTGAGATCCATCATGTGCTACAATCTCAGCTTATTGATCCTGGCAAACTTGTGTGAAGTCATAACTAATCTGCTGTTTTATCCGTCTCTGTGCTGCTGCTGCTTTTCCCACCTGCTTAAGTTCTCTCACATAAATATGGCGTCTGCTTTCTGCACGCCTCCACCGCTCAGTTATCGAAGGCGCTCTCGTAGCTCTGTGCAGATCAGATGCGTTACACGAGGATTTGAATTCAGCACAAACTCCAGACGACTGTGGACAGAAATGAGAATTCTTTGAGGACAAATCAAAACAGCCATTTTTAAGTTGTTTCAAAGAGGCCTGCAGCGTGCGCTCCTCGGACCTGGAAGCTGCGCTCGTCTTTCATGCGCAGATGAGACGGCGAGCTAAAACGCACAGTAACGTGTTTTTCAAACGTCGCCTTCCCGCTGAACCCCGCCTCCCGATGCGAGAAACTGTTTGTGTTGATCGTTTCATCAGCGTTTCCTTCGTCTTTGAGCTGGAGCGTGAAAGTCCACAACTTTTTAAGTACAATGTGCTTCTGTTTCTCTTTGAAGCGCACAGATCAAAGCAGACGGCCACACACGGCGAGCGCGATGACCTCGTCTGCAGAGCAGCTCCTGCTTTTGTTCTGCTCGTTCTCCAACACCCTCACTGCTTTTGTGCTCTCACCTCCAACATGCCATCAATTATACAACAAAGACGCTGCTTCATTGTTAAGCAGGTGGTGCACGCAGCAGTGAAGTTATCCAGGCTTGGATAACGTGATCTCCACGCAGGTTCTTCTCTGTTTCAAATCAGGAGAATGACTGATGCTGCAGCGCGGCAAGTTATGGAGTCGGGTTGTAGAGCAGGGGTGGGGAACTCCAGGCCTCGAGGGTCGGTGTCCTTGATCCAGCACAGCTGATTTAAATGGCTAAATGACCTCCTCAACATGACCTGAAGTTCTCCAGAAGCCTGGTAATGAACTAATCATGTGATTCAGTGAGATCTAAAACCTGCAGGACACCGGCCCTCGAGGCCTGGAGTTCCCCACGCCTGTTGTAGAGTCTTCGCCGTAGACTTTAAAGCACCTTGAGGCGACTCGTTGTGATTTGTTGCTATAAAAATAAACCTGACTTCTTGGATCTCTGCTTGAAGTGAGCTTGTGTAGTTGGTGCGCTGTAATGTGAATTCTGCACAAGTCGTTGCACAGACGTCTGTGCAGGCCTGACGCTCGCCGTCTGAGGATAAAATTTATGCCACTGCTTAGTAACACTGAGCGTTGAGGTGTTCAGATAACTGTATTTTTTTGTATTATTACACATTAGACATTAGGGCTGTCACGATTAGTCGACTATCAAAATCGTCGACGACTGATTTAATAGTCGACGCGTCGTTTGAAGCTTTGTAAGATCACAAAAGACGCAGGAATGAGTAGCAGGATTTAAGAGTGTAATAACAGACTGTAACAGAAGATGGCAGCACTGCATGTACAAGGATGCCAGCTGCCGTTAAACCCCGAAGAAGAAGAAGCTGTGTCCCAGAATTCATAGCGCAGCCCAGCTCAGTTTCCAACAATGGCGGCAGCTAGTTAGTTTTAATATTACTCTTATTATTCTTTCTGGGTCACAAAATAAACGTTTAACATATTTTCATGGAGAATGTAGCTGTGTAAACCTCAAATATCTGCTCAGTTTATCAGGACACCACATATTTTCAAAAGCGCTCCGATGTTTTCGGAGACGTCTGTTACCCACTAGCTCGATAGCTAGCCGGGGGCTAGGCTCACTAGCGCCGTGAGAACACCGGACTCCCGGCAAATCGTTTTCAAACCCACCGCCGTCTTTCGCTACTCAGGTTAAACATGATATATGAGTCACTTAGATAACTTCAAAATGTTGTTGTTTGGCTTTTTTCAGTATTTTATTTGTTCCTGAGTAAATCGGCTGAGTTTATTAAACTTCACCGAAACAATCTGCACATTTCATTAACATTTAATAAACTATCATCTTGTCTTTATTTTTAGTTAGCACCTTAAACACTTAAAGCTGTAAGCTAATGATATATAAGAGCAGATGCTGCTGGTGCAATATGCTGTAGTTTTACGTCTAATGGATGATGATCTGATTAGTCGACTAATCGCAAAAATAATCTGTGAGTAGTCGACTATCAAAATAATCGTTTGTGGCAGCCCTATTAGACATATTAGTCATCATAAATGAACATATCAGGATAAAGTCTTGGAAAATGTGATACTTAGTCCAAAAACTTTACGTGGACCTTAAACCCAACAGGAAGGAACAAGAACATGAAATCGAGGTGGAGCATAAAGTATCCTGATGTGAGCTGAGGGAACGTCCTCCCTGGTTTATGCGTTTCCTCTACTTTCCCAAGAAAGCAAAAGCAAAAACACATAAAAGACGTCACATCTGAAGTCACAGTCAATGCTGCGCTTCACGGTTTTAAATAAAGTGATCCAAAATGTTCTCAGTTCTTCCTCCACCTACGCTCCACCTCTCCACCAAGCACAGTTAATGAAATCCGCTCAGTGACTTTGGTGTAATCTCACCGACAGACGGCTGCAAACATCTCTGAGCCCCGGCTCTCGCCGTGAAGCAGAATAATGTTGAAGATCTGATTCAGTGAAACTCTACATTTGTGTGTTTGAGTGAATCCTGACTCGTGTTTGTTCTTCAGCCACAGATACTTCACTCCTCCAATCAGGAAGACCAGGAGCCACTGACAGGTCAAGTCCCGACGCCACCGCGAACTCAAGCTCCACCTTCCACTAACATCTGCCCCGCACATCCCGAAACCCCTGCTGACAGACTCCGCAACCCCCGAGCTCCCAGTTCCACCCATCCAGCAGCCCACGTAGGAGAGGATGACGGGGAAAAGCAGAGGAAGGTGGAGGAGACGAAGTCGGGGGAAAGGAAGAAAACCCACAGCAGGTACCTGCAGCCGCCGCAGCCCTCCAAGCTCCGCCTCTTCCCAAAGACGAGGGCAGCACGTGACCCCGACACCAACAGCACCTCTGGACTGAATTTCAGAACGCTGGCCTTCACCTCCACCTCCTCCCGCCTCCCCAAACCAAAGAACCACTGAAGCGTCCGACTCCTTCCTAACACGCAGCGACGCGAGCGCCGAACTTCCTGTAAAATAAAACGAGAGCTGCAGATTATCGAAGCTTTAGCCGAGGCTGAAATGGACACAGTTAATTTATTTAACCTTATTTTAAGAAGTTGTTGACAGAAACGGTTTCTGCAGTGAGTGGGAGGGGCCATCAGGTTCATCTGAAGATGGAACGGAGGTATGTGAGGTTTTGGCTCTTCATCACAACCTTTAAGGATCTTTAAATGTCAGGGTTTTCTTTTCTTTCCAACACGCTTCGTTTATTCTAGCATCAACACTAAAACTGCACCGAGAGCGTCCGTTAACCAGACGGAAACGCCTCCGATCTCGTCCTCTGATCTCGCCCTCTGCTGTTGGTTTCATATAAAACATCGGTCCTCTTCCCTCAGAGGCTCGCTCCCTCTCGCTGTGTGTTAGGAACCGATTGTACAGCTCCTGAACTTCCTCCGACTCCTCCATCCTTCCCTGAAGTCCAACCACAGTGAGTCTTCCTCAGTGGAGAGGCATGAATGACGTGCATCCACCTTAACCCCCGTCACCACCGCAGACTGCATCCTCCTCCAACCTTCATCTTTACAGACTCTCATCATCTCGAAGGTCAGAAAGTTCCAGGACCTTGATCTCGTCGCCCGTCCGTGTGTTTTCAGTTCGGTGTTCACTTCACTGTGTTTCGTTTAGAAACCTGTTGGTTTTCAGACAAGACTCCGATATGAGGCTGAAATCTTCGTCCAAATAGCTGCTGGTTGGTGTAAACACCTCCTTCCTCCTGCATCAGCTGTGAAAGTGTGGCAGTCTTTGTTCCCATGAAAGCCGATGGAAGAACATCTGTGTGCTTGAAGAGTCCTGAAGTTGGAGGTTTTTTACCATCTGGCAGTGATTTGAAAATCAGTCCAGCAGAAGTCTGGATGGACACAAAAGTCTCAGCATGCTGCAAGCGCTCCAGCTCTGTTCTGACTTTAATGGTTTGGGGATGTTTGTTTCAGTCTACTGTGACTGTCCCCCAAAAACCCTCCAACTAAAATAAAATCAGAGCTCCAGACGTGACTCCAGGCTTTGCTGTTTCTGCAGAGGAAGCGTTCAGGCGCTCAGCAGAGACATCTGCTGAATCTGCTCTGAGCTTTGAGCTCTGCTGTGGAAGCAGAAATCACAGCGTGCAGGAGGAGGAAGGTTTCCTCCCAGGTCAAAATAATCCCTACTAATCTGATACTGGAACGAGATGTTTTAGCTCCTCCCCCTTTGGTGTGAACTAAAGAGCCACACCAAGAGATGAAGGAGCTCCAATTGGTTTGCTTTTTAGGAAACGGCTGAGATGAGCTCGGCAGTATGGTGTGAAGCATGCTGAGGCCTTCTTGTCTGAAGGCTGGAGTCATTTCAGACACTCAGTAAATGAATAAAAGGCTAGAAAGTTCAAATAATTTTCGGATTACAGGTGATCAGAGGAGCAGCTGGTAGCTTAAGTGTTTTTCCTTGAAGGCAAACTGACATTTCAGCCCGTCTGTCAGTCGTCCTTTGAACATTTGGACATTACTGCGTCTCACTCGTGCAGTCAGGATCCGCCTGCTGAACCACGTTCACGTTCATTCTTCTACAGGACAACGAGTCTCCCTCATACCTGACAAATCAAACATAGTCTCCCTTCTGTCAGCGATTAACTGTCAGTGCTGCTCGCTTTGATATTAGTAACCGTATATGCAATAAAATATGCAACAAAGTCGCAGGTTCAAGCCCTAAAAGAGGAAACTTTGTTGCATTTAAAATATATGCAAGACCAGCTCAGCTTAGTTCCACGTTTCACGAAGAAGAGGACGCTCGCTGTCTCTACAGACAATCCGGGAATCTGCTAAATCCTGCATGTCCGGTGCCGAGAAACGAAGTAGAAGCGGTTTTGGGGCGATTACTGAAACCACGAGGCGGCTCGGTGTGAAGAACGACGGCAGACTGAGGAAACCGCCCGGCTCCAGCTCGCATCTACCCCAACAGCAGAGTCTGACTGTGCTGGCATCAGGTTTGCTCACATTTGACTGATCAATGCATTTAAATGCTTTAAATCCTCGTTCAGCTCTGAGCCGCAGCGACTTTAACATGAGCAGGTTTCAAAGACGTCTGCTCTTAACTTTCTGCTGCGTCACTGCTCAGGTGGAGTCGCTTGTCTCCTTTAGATCTCGTCGTTCGCTCCCAGTGGGGAAATCGGAGCCGCCTTAATTCATGCGAGCGACACGAAGCCCAGCAGGGCGCGTTCGCAGCAGAGCTTCAGCTGCTGCTGCTCTTAAAGTTCATCATCAAAGTCCTGGAACACACAGAGTCTGCAGGAACGCTGTGATTGATGTTCCTCGGTGAGCCCCTCATCGACGGGGGGAAATTAAAGCAGAAGGCAAACAGGGAATGTCCGTTTGAAATGAAAGAGGAAAATAAATTAGTGCACTGTGTTTATTTCATCTGGTTCAAACAAGGTTTGATGTTTTCTTTTCCACCTTTTCACCAAAAACGACCAGAAAAAATGAAAAAAATCAGCCTCCTCAAGGCTCCGCCTCGGCCTTCGTGTCTCTGTCTGCGCCTGTTTGTCTAAACCCTCCAGAAGCTGAAATAATGGAAGTGAGCAGCTCTGAGCGAAGACTCGCTGAAAGCTGCTGAATCTGAAACAAGCAGCCCATCACAGCTGTTTGTTTGATATACCTCCTGTAATCATGGAGACTAATCGGGGCAGCTGAAAACAAGCATGTCCAATCAGCGCAAAGCACGAAAGAAAACCTTCAAAGTAAAACAGGAAGTGAACTAAAGACACAGAGCAATCAAAACCTCTAAAATCTGAAACAAAACCCGGAGCAGGACGGTTACGGAAACTCGAGGCAAAAACCAGGAGCTTAAAATAGTCCAGCTTTGTCTCTGAGGCGTCCTCTGCAGTCAGAGGAGGTCGTGTCTCAGCGTCTTCATCTGCTGCTCGTCTTCACACCGTCGTGTCTCAGGTTTAATTTTAAAGTTTGCCCCTCATCGTTATTCAAACATCCAATCAGGTTTTATCAGCTGCCGAAGTTTAAAAGTGACTAAAACCACCCGGGGAGAGAAAAACCTTCTGCCCGGGTCACAGAGTGTGAACCATGAAGTCGTGGTCATGTACATTACACAGAGCGTTAGTGTGTTTGTCTCACAGAGTTTTTAAATCATTATTAAACTCGATCACATCCGCTTCATCACTTATTTGACTGCTTTTAAGAAAACTCTGCATTTTCTTCTGTGCTTTCAAAATAAAAGTCTTCTGTGTAGGGAGACTGTACACTAAACATTTTTTAGTCCTTACAAATAACTTGAATACATTTATTTAAATCCATGTAATTTAGTTGCATAAGTACAGTTTAAAATGTTAACTTGACTGCTATACGTTCAGTTTACACCAAGCACATTTTCCTTAATAATTACTTATTTAAATCAATGAAACTTTGACTTTTACATATTTCAGCTGCACTTAAAGTTGTTGCTTATGCTTATTAAGAGTGAAGAATCATTATTTGAGTGTAACTTTAAGTTCTCAGACTGGTTTTATTGTGACACACCTGTGCAGGAAGTACTGAGATTCACTAACAGCTCAACAACAATTATAAGAAACAATTTCACAATAAAAGCCAATAATCCTGAATGCTTTTACTGTGAAATAAGGGGGTACAGCAGTTTCTTTAAAGCTAGCTTAACAGTGACAAAAACACACAAGGTAGAAAACACTGATGATCAGCAGAGAAACACATTTAAAGTGTTTTTATCAGGATGAACGTTACGCTCGATCCGTGAAGTCAGCCCTGCTGTGGAAAACCTCTCTGCTGTTGTTTGAAATAATTAAATTATTGAAGGCTTTATGAGTAAAGTGCTGGGAATGTTTTCATGTTCACTTTGAGATGACTCTAATATTTCATAATCGTCTGTATTTAAACTGTATTTAAACGATTCAGTGGAATACTCTGAATAATGTACTCACGCTGTGTCTGTCTTCTACTTCCTCTCTGCTTTTATTTTGAAAACTTGAACTTTTGTTTGTTTCCTGGTTTTGGTGCAATAACTGACGTATTTATGTGATGAAGCGTGTACGTGGTGCGGACTGTAACGTTGTTGAAGCGCCGAGAGGAAAAAGCACTTTAAAACAAGCGTCTCACCTGCTGAACTTATTTTTTGTCTCATTAACGTTGATGCAGCGTTCAGGTCGTACCAAGTGAAAACGTAGCGCCTGTATTCCTGTCAGCGAGGCTCTTTGCAGCTCATTGGTTGATATTTACGGTCCTCTTCTGTCATTGGCTGACATTTCTCTGATGCTGCTGAAATAAAATTAATCGTCCCCAGCTCTCGGTGTGTCCTCCCTTCTTTCTCCAACTGTGCCAAAGTCGAGCCACATTAGAGCGGGAAAGGGTGATGTCGTTCATGGGCGGAGTCTGTGAAGCAGAGATGTCAGGTAGGATCTCCTCTGCCCCGCCCACATGTGGCACAGATGTGCTGGGACAAAGTAAATTAGACGTTTATCCTTCACAGCATGAAAATATGAAAACTGGCTGTTCAAAATGGCCACGCCCCCACCTGCCACGCCCAATTATTACACCATCTTTAATGATTTTTAAATGTGTTTATATCAGTCATTTGAGAGTCGGTATCGGTGTAAGAACGGACGGAGAAATTGGGCCACGCCTCTTTGAATTCCGTCGTTTTCAATTCCACAGGTGTGAAAACCACAGCAGCTCAGCCAGGAAGTGTTAGAGCTGGTGAACTTACATGGCGGGGTCACAGAGCGGAGGTTCACGCCCCCTCCTGGCTTTAACATGTTATATTCTGGTCTCATTCACGACAGACTCCAGAATATCTATTTCCTACCCAACGGGGTAGTAAGTTTTATTAACAAGTCATGCGACTCAGATTGGTCCTCTGCCATGTACAATAGCAACATACAGCCTAACAATCCTTACTTGTGTGACACTCTAAAACGTCCGTGCAGCAACACAATCTATTGTGGAACAAAACATCTTGCAAACAATAATTCACATTATTACATCCCTTCTCTTTTTTTTTTTCTTTTTGGAAAAAACAGAAGTCCTTTTGTTTTGATTTGTCCTTCTTCTCACTGAGGGTGAAAACAATATGAAACACTCAAAGAATACAAAAGCATTCCACTTATTCCAACATGTACATTTCTGTAAGCTGTAGTGAACATCAATATCCACAGAATACACAACTCTTCCCCTCAAACAATAAACAATAAATCCTCATTATGCAACATAGTCTTTGTACCTAAGTGGTGGAACCACTTTGCGGCCTGACCTTGTCCTAACACCCCCTGTTACCTCGTCAGTCTTGATCTGCCACTCACGAGTGTCTGTGGGAGCTGTCACTGACCTGGTCAGTGCCCCGGTGTCCGTTATGGCATTTTCCTGATCCACCACGCCTGCATGTCTCAGGTGCCTCCGATTCCTCCTCAGGACACTTCCAGAGTCCAACTGAACCTCATAGGACCTCGGGTCGACAGTCCCAATCACCACTCCCCTGCTCCAAGTGGAATGGCGGTCAAAAGGCTGAACTCTGACACTGTCCCCTAGCTTCAAAGAGTCCAAGTCTCGTGCTGATCGGTCATACCACAGTTTTTGGCGCTTCTGTTTCCTCTCCAACTCCCGCCGGGCTGGAATGACTTTTGGCCTTAGCAGGCTCGTCCTGGTTGGCAAAAGCGTCTGTGTCCTCCTGCTGAGCAGCCTCTGAGCTGGGCTGGTCTCCAGGCCTTGTGATGGTGTATTGCGATGGTCCAGAATCGCAAGATACGGGTCTTGCCCTGCCATTTTTGCCTTTAGCAGCAGCCTCTTTGCTGTCTTTACTGCTGATTCTGCCTTCCCGTTACTCTGAGGGTAACCTGGCGAAGATGTTTTATGCTGGAAACCCCACAGTCGACTAAATCTCAGAAACTCACCGGACGTATACTGTGGTCCATTATCTGAAACAACAATGTCCGGGATGCCCTGTCTGGCAAAGTGAGCCTTCAGCTATCTAATCACTGTGGTGGACTTAGTGTCCGGGAGATAGTCAATTTCCCAGAAGTTTGAATAGTAGTCCACTGTGATAAGGTAGTCCTTGTTGTCAAACATAAACAGGTCCGAGCCCACCTTAGCCCATGGTCTAGTCGGGATCTCATGTGGAACCAAGGTCTCTTTCTGCTGTCTGTAGTCAACTGACCTGCAGATGTCACACTTAGTCACATAAGTCTTAATTTGTTCGTTCATGCCTGGCCAATACACACACTCTCTGGCTCTCCTTAGACAACCTTCTACACCTAGGTGTGTCGAGTGTAGTCTAGTTATGATCTCCTGTCTCATGGTAGTCGGGACAACAACACGTTCACCTCTAAACACAAGTCCATCCTGACTACTCAGTTCATCCTGGAATGAGAAGTATGGTCTGATGTCACCGTCAGTGTCTCTTTTGTCTGTCGGCCAACCTCTGTGAATTGTATCTATGAGGATCTGTAGTGCTTTGTCGTCTTGTGTAGCAGTCCTTATGCTGTTTAGTCTGTCAGGTGAGATGGGTGCATGAGTGACCATGTTAATGCTCTCTATTTCCTCCTCTATGGAGCCCTGTGGTGAGCACTCTGGAAGATATGCCCTGCTCAACGTGTCTGCTAATAACATGTCTTTGCCTGGCACATACACCACATCTATGTCATATTTCTGAATGCGCATAAGCATCCTTTGCAACCGTTTGGGTGCGCTCAACAGTGGTTTTCTTACAATGGTCTCTAAGGGTTTGTGATCACTGTGTACCACCACTTTACGACCATATGTGTACTGATGAAACTTCTCCATGCTGAAAACTACAGCCAAAAGCTCCTTTTCGATCTGGGCATAACCCTGCTCTGTACGTGTAAGTGCTCTACTCGCAAAAGCCACAGGCTTACCCGTCTGCATGAGTGCTGCACCTAACCCTTTGTCAGAAGCGTCACATTGTACTGTCAGCTCTTCCTCTGGGCAGTAGTATTTCAGGACTGGAGCCTCTGCTATAGCCTCTTTCAGTCTCTGGAATGCGTCTTCATGTCGAGTCGTCCAGTTCCACTCACTGTCTTTGTGTGTCAGTTGTCTCAGTAAGTCGCAATGGTCAGACAGATGTGGGCAAAACTTTGCTAAGTAGTTCACCATACCTAACAGTCTCTGTACTGCCTTCACGTCTGTAGGTCTGGGCATTTTTTCTATGGCCCTAACCTTTTCTGGGTCTATTTTCAGACCGTTGCATGTCAGCTGATGTCCAATGTACGTGGTCTCCTTCTGTTTAAGTTTGAACTTGTCTGCGTTCAACTTAATGTTTTTCTGCCTGCAACGAGTCAAAAACTGTCTCAGCTTCTCGTCATGGTCACGTACTGCTCCAGCATCTGTGTCCCCCTGACCCGTGATCAGCACATCATCTGCAATGATGTAGATCCCTGCCAGTCCATCCAAAGCTTGTGTGAGCTTCCTCTGGAACACTTCCGGAGCTGGGCTTATCCCCATTGGCATCCTCAGCCATCTGTAGCGTCCAAATGGAGTTGAAAATGTTGTCAGGTAGCTCGACTCCTCCTCCAGTTTCACGTGCCAGAATCCACTCTTTACATCGCAGACAGAGAACACTTTAGCCTTTGACAGATCTGGCAAAATGTCCTCAATGGTGGGCAATGGGAAGTGGCTCCGTTGTAGGGCTTTGTTTAGGGGTTTTGGATCTATGCACACTCTTAAGTCCCCACTCTGCTTTTGGACCACAACCATCCCACTGATCCAGTCTGTGCTGCATTCTACTGGTGCAATGATCCCTCTGCGCTGAAGATCTTGAAGCTCCTTTTTTAACGGCTTTATCATTGCAATAGGGACACGCCGTTTTGGTAACTGCACTGGTTTCACAGTTTCATCCACCTCGAGCCTTAACTCTCCCTCCAAACAGCCATCTCCCGTGAAGACATCGGCATACTCTGTTTTAATCTGATCCATGTTCCACTCATTGGCTGTTGGGTGCTCTGAAGTAACGATGCTGTCCAGTTTCAAGATGTTTTCATAGTGTACTTTTATGAGTTTCATCGCTTCGCTGGCTCTCTTGCCCAGCAGTGGTACTTTACAGTCTTTGTCAACCACTTGAAACTCCAACCGATACAGTTTCTGATTTCTCGGGTTACGTAGCTTAACTTTGCATTTTCCCAACGGCTTTATCTTACTTTTGTTGTACATCATCAACACTGTCTGTGTGTCCTCCAACTGTGTGTTCGGGCTTAGCATGTGGATTGGCATTACATTACAACTGGCACCACAGTCAATCTGAAAATTTACAATCTCTTTGCCCATCAGCATGCCTGCAAAGAGTTGAGTGCCTCTCTCTTTGTCAGTGTTCTTTGTAGTTGAAACATGTGCGTCTGCCTCTGTAACACAGAGAACGTCCTCATACTCATCACTCTCACATGCTGTCACGTTGTGTACATTCGTCCTTCTCTTCTGCTCTGAATGTGCCATGCATTTAACTGCAAAGTGGTTTTCTCTGCCACACTTTTTACATTTCTTCCTGTATGCTGGACATTTTTCTTTCTTTTTTTCATGTGTTCTGCCACAAAACTTACAGTCCACTGCGTCGCCGATCCGTTTCTGGCGCGCAGCTCCACGCACAGCATGCACCTCCTCCACTGCAGCTCCTGAAATGGTTTTGCTGTTTTCCCGCGACAGCTCCGCGGCTCTGCAGTGCTGTATGCATGCATCCAGTGTCATGTTTTTCTCACGCAGCAGTCTCTCCCTCAGACTCGGGTTGTGAAGTCCACATACAATCCTGTCACGAACCAGTGAGTCCCTTATTACTCCAAAGTTGCACGTTTTTGTCAGCAGCTTTAACTCCGTCACGTAGCTGTCGATTGTCTCACTGGTGCCTTGGTTTCTCGTGAAGAACCGATAACGCTCCACAGTTTCATTAACTACAGGATTGCAATGATTGTCAAACTTCTCAATAATGTCCTTAACTGTCCACCGCTCTCTCGCCGTGTCGCCCATTAGCGTGTCTAGCAGCTCCCTGCCGCTCTCACCAACGAGATAACTGAACAAGCTTACTTTTTTCTGTTCGCCGTCTGAGTCCATGGTCAGCTCCACATAGAGCATAAACTCGTCCCTCCAGGTCTTCCATGTCCGTGATAGGTTACTGGAGTCCAATACCAGCGTCGGCGGCGATTTAAGGCCCTCCATGCCTCGCGGCGGTGCTAACTCGATTAGCCGCTAGTTGCTCACCGCTCCGACAGGCGTCTCTCGGGGGTTCACAGCGACCGTGCAGCTTGCTCCGCTGTCCGCTCCGCTGCCACCATGTTATATTCTGGTCT